ACACAGTCAGACCTTCAGACCCTTTGGCTGTATAACAAGAGAGTCTTGAGTCACGGAAACACAACCACTGCAGTGTGGTGCATCAGTGTAGGGAGCAGGGGGAGCAGGGCTGGATGGGTGTGCAGGGGGTTGGCAGAGAGAAGGGATGTTCTGGAGGGAAAAAATAGGCTTCTTAAGACAGAAAACAAACTTTAAAAGAGTTAAGAAAAAAGATGTGGACCCTTTGGCTGTATAACAAGAGAGTCTTGAGTCACGGAAACACAACCACTGCAGTGTGGTGCATCAGTGTAGGGAGCAGGGGGAGCAGGGCTGGATGGGTGTGCAGGGGGTTGGCAGAGAGAAGGGATGTTCTGGAGGGAAAAAATAGGCTTCTTAAGACAGAAAACAAACTTTAAAAGAGTTAAGAAAAAAGATGTGGTTTAAATATGCTTAACAGACTTGCAATTGAACAACCTGATGTGGTTGAAGTTGTCCCTGTTCATTGCAGTTGGACTAGTTGAACTTTCAAGGTTCCTTCCAGCCCAAACCAGTCTGTAGTTCTATGGTGCCATTGGGAAATGGCTGGATTCCTTAAAAAACGTATAAAAATAGGCATTTGGGAGGAGAGTGGAGAGGTAAATGTGCCATTTTGGTGCAGGACTTGATCACTGGGGGATTTGTTGGTTTTCATTACTATGAGATAGGATTCGTAGGTGTATTTTGAAGCCTGGTGAGAATTTTACAACCAGGATGCTCAGCAGGAGCTTTCCCTCTCTCTTGGGGAGAAAACAGGCAAACTGCTGAGGGAGACATGCAAACACAGATGAAGAAGAGGAAGGTAGTGGAGCCTGACCCAGTGAGGGTGTCAGGGCCTGCAGGGAGAGGAGAGGAGCAGAAATCTTTGCTGGAGCTTTGGCTTGCAATGAAGTCCCAAACACAGTGTGTAGTTGGCACATGATCCTGACTGTCAACTTAGGAGCTGGTTGCATCCTCTCCTGGGAGATCCTGGTCTTCTCATCAGTCTGATCTGCCTCTCAGCATCACCTGCTGCTTTGCAGCCTAACAGACTCCAGTCCCTGAGCTGGAAAGGTGTCACCTCCTCGCTGCAGCTTTTACCAGATACACAGCACAAATATCTGCCCAAGATAATCACAATGTCTGTCCCCAACTATCTCCTGGCTTCTGCCTTTTGCTGGTATTTTCTTTTCCTTTTGGCAGGAAATGGAGTTTGACTGTTTAAA